CCCTGGGCGAGGCAGGGGATGGTGTCCCTGTGTCTGTCCCTGCAGAGCAGCTCCATGGCGAGGGCTGTGAGCTGGGGCACCCACCCAGCCTCAAACCCCTTCAGGATCATCAAGCACGTGGCTCCTGCCTGAGGGGAGCTCCTTGCCACCCTGTGCTTCTGGTCAGAACCCAAAACCCAAAACACAAAGTGATTTGGGGCTGGGGTTTTAATCTGGCCTTGAGCAGGGTCTCATCCCCAGGCGAGTGCTGGAAGATTTATACTGAAAATCCCTTCCTCTTCTGCCTCAGCTTCAGAGGAAGCAAAAGGCCCAAACCCAAACACCAATTAATAGCACCAGCCCCCACTAACCCAATGAACTCTGAGTGACCCAGGTGAGCATCCTCAGCAGAGAAAGAAATGGACTCTGCCACACTCCTTAAATATTTTAAATAATATAAAAGGCCTCTGTTAGGCATACATTAAAAAGCATGACAAACTGCCTCCACCACAAACACAAATCAGTGTGAAGTATTTTATGAGCTCAGTCAATTTTAGATCAGTGTAAAAATAATGCTTTATTCTTGGTGAACGGAGCAGCATAAATAACCAAAGTAATTCTTCAGGGAGAAGTCTGAAGATGCAAGAAAAAAAAGCCTGAGAAAATAAAAGCCACACAAAACCAGAGTTTTTCTTTTTAACACCACCTGTATTTACAGTATTTAGAATATAGAAACATATAGCTGTGGTGCACCAGGCAGACAGGTACCCTAGAAGAAGCTTTCTGCATGAGAACTTTCAAAGATTAGTAAACAGCTATTACAGGGGATATTTAAAGTTTTAACTACTATTTTTAAAGAAATTAAATCCTTCCAACAAATATCCTCAACACCTTTCCATAAATTTGATATAAATGTCACAACCTCCTGAGATTTATGAGGACATTGAAGAACTTTCTCCTTGCCTCTGTAGTGCTAAAATCTTTTCTTTCCAAGATGTGCTGGAAATTGATTTCTTCCATAAATTTAGTTTCCATGCATTTCATTCGGTATAGGAAGTTCAACCTGCTTCAACAGCAGGACTCAAGCTGTGTGCCCACACAGACCTGCAGCACAGCATCGCTGTGGCCAGCATCTGCCCATGAGTTTTGTGTCAGTTTTGCCAAGTCTCAGCACTGAAGCCTGTCCAGCTTGCTCTGTCTGACCTGCCCTCAGTTTCACTTTAACTTGCTTTAGCTGTAACTGCAGTTTTCCTTCTGACCAGGTGCCTGTGGCTATTTTGGTTTGTTTTGCTTATTGCTGTACGGTACTGCTGTGGTTTTGTGACTGCACAGAAGTGGTCCAGAAGAGAAATTCCACCTTGGTGAGGCAGCAGTGCCTCTGGGATGGCAGATCCCATGTGTGGTGTAGGGGAATACCAGCACTGGGACACAGGACACGGGGCACAGATTTGGCTCTGGAGACCCCAGAGCAATAAACAACTCACCAGTGTCAATAAAGAAATGCAGATCTGAGCTGGACAAAACTGATTCTAGGGCAGCAAGTAGAACAAAGAAACAGTATATAGAATATGTGTAAGGCTCTGCTCTATCCTTAGCAAATTGAGATCTGATGTAATGTTCAGACCATTTTAGAAAGAACAAAGATGCAAAAGCTTGTTAATTGACATGCAAAAATGCACCCAAATAAATCATAGAGTGAGAAAAAGGAAACTGTCAACATTAACACCAAAATCTTCCTGGTGAAGAACTACAGATGCCAATAACAATCCATAATCCTGACAACTCCAATACCTGAGCAAAAGCATCCACCCTGAAGGGCCTGAAAGGACTGGGAAAGAGGGAGCATTTCACCAGGAGAAGGGGTAGAAACTAAGGAGTCACAGTTTTAGCTGTATTATTATTACTATTACAGTTGCAATCTTTTCTGCATAGACATAGTGTTCTTTTAAAAGTTTTAAAGCTCTTTAAAAAGTTTCCTACACCTTCTAAAATTTACATATTTCTACTGGAGTTCTCACGCACTGTTCATGTAACTAATGATTGCTTTAAATTCTTCTATGTGAAAAGAGAAAATTAATAGACTATTAGTTTAACCAGTGTAGTTGGAGAGGTGACAATTTCATCCTCCAATCCACTGTCACCTTTAGAATTCTATATATTGTGAAGTCAGAAATACAGCTTCCTCTTTTCCTTTTTTTACATCTTGAGTGAGTGCGTGAGTTGTTTCGTGTTGTAGTGCAATAGACATAGTCTTTTCTTTTTGTAATAGTTGTACACGGAGTAGTAATGACTTTTGGAGTAGACTCCTAAGGTCTCAATTATACTAACAATAAATTTCTGCCTTTAGATATAAGTTGTTTCTGCTTTGCCCATAAAACAAGATATTGAGCATAATAAGTAGCTTCACCAGACCTAAGTCATAAAAATATTACTTGTTAGCAGCACTGAAAGAAAATCTCTTCCTCAGGGGTTTAATATGACAGACTAAGCACTCTTAAAAATTTTGACTCAACACAGCATCAACTGAAGAGTCATTAGCATTTGCCAAAATGAAAGGATATCACGAGCTCAGATTTTCAGGTGGCATAAGCTGGTTTTGGTTTTTGGTTGTGTGGGAGGCTCATTTCAGGCTCTGTTTCTGGGGCACATGGCTTCCTTGGAAACCTGAGGTCTGGCACCATAGTAAGAGTTACTCTGAGGGTAAAATCTTTCTCCATTTGAAGTCAGTGGGAATTTTGCCACTCAGTCATTTGTACTTGAGGTTTCACCCAAGGGAATTTCACCCAAAAGCAAACTCTTCACCCAAAGAAGTCCAGGAGGAAGGAGATAAGAATGGATCACAGACAAGCTTGAGTCCAATGTCAGGACATCACCACCTTGCCTTGTGCACAGCTGGAAATGAAAGCATGGACACATCCCATGAAAATATTATGGTAACACACAGTAATCTGGACCTGTTGTCTGTGGGATTATCCAGTTGTGGTTCAGAGACATATGGGGCTGCATTAGATCAGCTGATGTTAGTTATAAATATAAAAGAAAAAACCCCAACCAACAAAAACTTATCTCAAAAGACAAAACCCCCAACCAACAAAAGCAAGAAAAAAAAAAAACCACAAGGGGAAAAAAAAGCCAACAAGAGGCATGCACCTGTTATTAAGAAAATGCAACATTATTATAGTTATGACTAACTGGAATGCCTGGAAGAGATTTACCACAACAGAAAAAAATCAATTAGGTATGGGTGTATACCATATATATATATACATCTTACTAATTTCCTTTAGGTTGTGTGAGTAACTTTTAATTAAGCTTCAGGTTAAAATGGGTATATTTGAATACATATATATATGAGGACACCTTATAATGTTGACCATAAACATAAAAATTTAGTTCCCGTTTGAAATATATCAGGAACGTTTCTGGCCTATTTCAGTGAATTTACATCATGTGAAGATGTAAGTCTGTAACCTAAGACTGAAGGGAGTGTATGGATGACATCTTCAACCTGAGTACACTTCATACACCCAAGGAAAAGTCTCCTGTTGTCCTTGAGATAGGGGGTTTTAATGGCTTTATGCCAAAGAACGTGGCTTCATGCACTTCTGCTCAAGCACACACATGTCCAGCATTGCTTTTGCTGCTTTGTCACATTAGCCTCTGAGTTTGTGCACATAGAGTATGGGCTGCATTTACTCAAACTTAGGATTTTTTGAGAAATTAAATACCTGGGTCTGAATTATTCACTAGTGGATCATTTTGTAGTCTGTTGAGAGACATGGCTATTTCCAGAGGGCAATTCCTCTTCCTGTAAGATCTTTAACACAAATCATCCTCTAGAAATGCCTGCTTCTCTTAACTGGGCTTTGGAGGGGGCCAGCTCAGACTGAGATATCTAAAGTTTGCTTACTTAAGGTTAAGCAAGATGCATCCCTTCCAGAGACTGTAGTAAAGGCACACAATGTTTGTCAGTTCTTGCCTGTACCTGACTGAAGTGCAATAAAACAATATCAAGTGCTATGTGTGACTCAAGATTGATGATTGCTGTCAATTAGAAAATTTTGTATTTTGCATCTATTAAGTTTTAAATTTTATAAACTGAAGTCAGATAATGACCTGAGAAATTAAAACCTTTTTTTTTTCCATAGAGGATTCAGGGCATAAATTATTTTTCAATATAAACTCCCAATTTTCTATGAAATTTTTCAATTTTAAAAAACATTTTTTCTGTGATAATTATAAGAAAATAAATTCTAAATAAGGTATATATTATGTTAGAACTATTTAACGCATAATATAAAAGACACTCAAGCATCTCAGCCATTCAGTGAAAACAGATCCCATAGATCACTTAAAATTTTAAAACATTATTTTAATTACTTTTTAATTGCCTTTTTGTTTTTAAATGAACATATGAATGCTTTCATACTTAACCCCCCCAATTAACTGTGTTAAAATAAGCACAGAAGAGACTCAAACCTTCACAAACAGTTATTCTAATAACATTTTATTAGCAGAACATTACTTTTTGACAAATTTACTACGAAGTCTCTTGCATCAGACACAGGATGATATCCATCACTAAGCTAAATGCGATAAAATCATCTTTAAATGCAACACTAAGTTTAACATAGAGAGAAAACATAACATCTGCTTGGGAAGTTCATTTTTTGAAGTAATTCAGGAAAGGGGAACTGAGCTCTGGAGTAACCTTGGGACTGCTGCTTCCCTGCCAGATGGAAAATCTCAGGGATGACCCATTTGCTCCTGAGGGGAAGGATGCTGCCCCTGTGACAGCCTGCCCACTCCATACCAATTGTTTCAGCCTTGGAGGAGGTTCTGGCTCCCATCCTCCCTGCAGAGGAAAGGCTGATCTCCAGGCTGTGTTTGTGCACAAGGGGCAGGCAGCACAGGGACAGGGGCTGGGCTGCTGCAGCTCCAGGTGGAGCAGGTGATCCCAGCAGGCACATGAACATGGATACATCACAGAATCGTGGAATGGCTGGGCTGGAGGGGACCTTGAGGATCATCTTGTTCCAACCCCCCTGCCACAGGAAGGGACACCTTCCACTAGACCAGCTCTCATACATACACATGTAAACACAGACAGACACACAGATCTCATTTTTAATACTGCATTTGCCTTCCCAGAAATGCATTTTGTTTCTTTCCTCGCTGTTGCTGTCCCTCAAAACCACTGTAATCAGGGGTAGCTCTTGGACTTCAGCGTGACCAGTCTCAGACACTGTAAATCCAAGTGCCATGTGCACCTTGGGGCCACACAGCTCCGCTTGGTATCCAGTCATAACCACAGAATGACATGACAGTAGTGGGGAGCCAAGCATTATAAAAAGTACAGTATCTCGTACCAAATCCAAAGTTTATATCTGGAAGTGTACACAGGCATTTGTGAGTTTCATTAGCCCAAACATTCATCATCTCTGGCCTGGTCCCTGGGCTGTAAATTCACCTGCAGCTGGAGGGCATTTGTTGTGTCAATGGAGTCTTCTGGTGTATCTGATGTAAAATAATCCTTTTTTTTTTTTGTTCAAAGATCCAACTTCCATACAAGGCAAAGCACAGTAAATTGGGACAATTGATAAACTCACTTCAGCTGTGACAGAAAGATTACTGTAGACATATCTTCAATCAGAAGAAGTGAAACCAGAAATCAATCTCTAATTTTAAAAAGAAGAAAGAGAGAGAGGTATAGAGAGCATGGCATTTCGCATATAGGAGCACATTTAATGCATTCCTGATGTTAGATTTAGTAATGTAAAATATGTATAATTTGTTGGACCTACCCCTACTGACACCTCTCTGCTGGCAGATGCTGTATGAGGCAGAGGCAGCCAAATCTGTCCCTCAGTGCTGTCCTGGAGGGTGTCCTGGATCCAAGCATCCTCAAAAGTGTTCACACTTCTTGTTTTGGGGAAATCTAGAAAGTTCATGCCAAATTAGACTGGAACTGGACTAACATGGATGATTAGAAAACAGAACCTGGAAATGAAGTGGGGAATTGTTATTTGAGAGGACAGATGTACCTGATGGAGCCATTCCTCTTTGGGAAAAAAACCAAAGGTTACTTATTCACCAACAAACCAAACCTCATTTCTATTGGAGAGCTAGTCCTAGTATAATGTTTTTGGTTTTTTTTTTACTTTCAAGATAGAAGTAGCTAATCTTGTGTATTTATTAAGCAACTATTACAGTAATTTTAGTGCAATTGCAGTTAGCGATGGGTTCCATATTAGTTCACAAAACAATGAATGGTACTTATAAATAGCATAATTTAGGCTTCCCAAACTAACGAAAATTGTAGACCAAGCCTATTATGAAGGCATGCAGGAAAGTTAATCAAATAAAGGTGGAATGTAAGTTTGCCTAACCTGCAGGCTGATAAACGCCATATGGGTGCTCTTACAGAGTAAAATTGCTTTCATTTTCTGTAGCTTAATTCTGTTTAAATTGCTGCAAACTCCAGCCTCTTTATTCTGAGTGAAAACACATGTCCCAGGAGTTTAACGTGCTTGAACTTATGCCTGTTAAATTCACCACTTGATTATCCATAACTTTCCCAAGTCTCCCCTCCCAAACTTGCTGTTAAAACAAGTTATTGTTCCTACTTACATACGAAGTGTTTAAGCAGGCATAGCAATGTGCTCTGCACCAGCTGCACTTCAACCGTGTGGGGTCCTTCTAATGGGAGCTTTTGCCCACGTTTGCAAGTGTTCTAAGAAGTTAAACTCCCAAAGGGAGACAGAAAGAGAACTAATTGAAAATCTTTAAAGAAATCTGGCCCCTTACTATGCACTTTTTCTGAATTTGTCCCAGGGGCACTGGACCCACTTATTTCTCTTATGTGAAAAAGATGCCAGAAGGCAATGCACATCCAAGAAGACTATGGCAGACTAAAGTTGCTGTCAAGCCTAAGTAATGCTGCTTTCTGGTCCTCACCTCTACCAAATTCCTCAGGAAGACAAGCTACAAGTTGTTCTTTTGCACTTAACCTGCAAAATGTCCTTCACCATTCAAGTACTTCTTGATGTACTGTTGTTGATTTAACTTTAATGTTTAACATGGCATCATATTTCTTACCATTTAAAAATATGGGAAGTAGTAAAAAGAAGAAACAAATAAAGAAAATCAGATCAGCAATAAACACAAGCTAATTCATGGCTGAGGTACCAGACTTCTGCCCAAACTGTCTGGCATGTGTTTGATGTACAGGATGACAAGAAAATTCTTGTAACAACTATTTCATTAGTATGCCTCTAAATAGGGCAAGAATATTCAGAAGATGTGCATCACCACTAAATAATTCACTTATTGCAGGTCTTGTTCTATGGAGCATGAAGGCAATACTGCCTTGATCTATTTTGGTACAGACTGACATCAGATGTGGCTTCCCACCTGTGGGAGGCGTGCCCCTGGCATCACACAAACCACTTCCAAGGCCACAGCCAAGACACCTCCCTCTTCCTATATGGATGCTAATTTGAATTGCCCAGAAACAGCCTGTTCACAGGCCCTTACTAGCAGCTGTTTATGCAGGCTTCCACCTGTGGCTCAGCTCAGGACATCACTGCCTGCCTGCCCGGACCCCAGGCCCCAGCACTGCTGACCCTGTTTGCAGACAAGTGGGCTTAAGAGATGAAGGCAGTGGGAAGGGTGGGTGTGAAGCTGATGCCCCAGTGTCAGAGGATGTGGTTGGAGAAGATGTGAACAGCAGGGGTAGAGACAATATTCAGTGTCATCACCAGTGATGCCAGTCTGTTTTGGATGTGAGCAGCCCAATTGTACAGCAATGATTTCAGTGTGTCTATGAGTGACAGGTTAGAAAATAATTTAGAAATGAATGATAAAACCTATACCTCTCTATGACTCTGGTTAATAGACAGCTCCTTATTTTAATTTTTTTAAAGGAAGTTTTACATTTTTGGTGTAATCTAGATGAGAAAAGTCCAAACCTACCTTCTTTGGATGAAAAAGTCTAAGCTTCATGGATACTGTTGCTATATATATCTTCACAACTCTGTAACTGGACTCCAGGTTCCCTATGAAAATGGATCTTGGAAGAGAAAATCTGATTTTTCGGAAGCTCTAGAATTATATTGAAAAAATGTAGACTATAAGAATTACATCAAGAATTATAGAAGAAAAGAATTATGTCAATAAAATCCCAGAGTGATTTACCTTTTGCTAAATGATACCCTAAATTTTAATACAAACCTTCCATCTCATAGTAAGTTTAGAATATTTTATATGAACATATGAAACATCTTAAATGATGCCAAAATTTTGGGGTGACCTCAAATTCAACTTCTAAGGAGAAGCAAATATATAGGGAACTTATGCAAGAAAAAATGCACACACATTTGGAACACTCTATAACCAAGAGCTTATGAATAAAAGCAAATATAAAAAAGAGGAGGCAGCTGAGACAAAGCACCAAGAGTTAAAAATACTTAGCTGATACTAAATATTTTTTAAAAGAGAGTTCAGAAGTGTTGCCTATCTTACTCTGGTATTTTTAGATTTCTTTACACTTCTGATGATCTGGAAAACTTAAAAAACTTAATATTATTTGAAAAACATACTTACTAGCTAATTGATGTATACTTGCTGCATATTGTTACTGATAAATTGGGCATTCCAGGGGCAGCAGCCTCTCCCCCTCCCTCTCTGTCCACCACTATGTCAGGGCATCCTCCTGTGGACACCAGGAGTTTCTTGCTGTACCAAACCTTGTGAGATAAAAATCTCAGGGTGCTGTGGGAAAGTCTTTTGGGAACATTTCTGGGAGTTTTGGGCTTTATTTTGGAAATATCCAAAAAGAAAAAAGAGCCTTGAGGCTATGAGGCTGAGAGTCAGGACTCTTAGACTGCCAGCTGTGCAAGCCCCATAGCTTGTGTAGCCTTTGTGTGCCAAATTTTTGACCTCCACAAAGAGAGGAATATAAATATTTCAGATGGAAATATTACACATTTCCTTGTTTTAATACTCGTACTGCTTGAAAGAGCAAGGAATGCCATATAAATATGAGAGCAGTGACAAGTGGCTTTGTCCAGCACCAGGACAAATAGAGTGGAAAAGCTTTTAAAAGGCTAATCCCAAATATGCACACATGAATGCATGCAGGAAGAGAAAACCTCAGCTTGTTCAAGACATCCATGCACTTCTTGAGAGTTAATGTAAACAAATGGAATTGCTCATACGAGTATCACAAAGCAATATAGACTGGAAACAGTTAAAGGAGTCTGCCTACCCTATTCTGTGGCAGAAATATAAACTACATGCTGTTTGTATTCAAACGTCACATCAAAAGATTAGGTGCATAAATTTGGATAGGCAGTTGTGAAGAAATGCTTCTGGAGTACAGGAATATTAATCTACTGGTCAATCCTTCCCCAATGTAGCATGCTAAAAGATTAACTTCCTTTTTGTACCAAATTCCTATTGAATATATGATGGAAAAATTCTAATTTTATGCAATTTTTAACTCTTGTGTACTAGTGACTTACACTGAGAGCAAAAGTACACAATCCTGTTTTTCAGTCTGACATAGTTACCTCTGATGCTTTGAGCTCCTCTAAGTTGTCCCTTGACTACAAATCATAACACACTTGACTTTTTATATATAAAGGATAGCTTGAGATACTTTTGAGCTTTATTCAAAGTATGAGCAGTGCACACGCTGAATTAATATCAGTGGAAAACTTTCAAAACACTCCAGTGTTTTTTCACTGTAAGTGTTGTCTTTCTTTTATTTTTCCTGAAAACAAAATATGAGAATAATACGCAATCTTGTGGTTATATGACTGTATTTCCACAAGTTTTGATATGTGTTTTTCTGTTGCAATTATTATTTTAAAAAGAGCTAATGTGACTGACAGAGCAGAACAATTTATCCTAGAACTATATATCTTTTTGTGGGCAGAAATGCCATGATGAAAAAATAACAAAATTGATTATTGTACAACTTTTGAAAACATAAAAAACCCATTGCTCTTCTCTTTGACAAGCTTGTCACAAAGGTGAGACTAAAACAAACTTCCAGATACTCGATATTAATAGGCAATGATGAAGAACAAGGCTTCTGCTCTCTCCTCACGTGCCAGGGTGCTCAGGGGAAAGCAGTGCTACCGAAGTTGAAGTTGATACCCTGAATTCTCTTCCATACACTTAACAGTCACTCGCTTGGTGCTTTGAAGTTAATGGAGTTATTCTGAAGTTAATTTGGTTCAACTCAGAGAAAAATTGGACCCACTAGAATGAGCGCTAATACAAAAGGCTTTGGAAGCCAGCCTGCATTGCTGGCCAGAGATTAACAGTGCAGCAGAAAAGGACCTCTCAGAAAACAAGACAGGAGGCTGATGCAGAGGAACTTGCCCACTCTTTTGGATTGGCAGCTGTATCACATACTGTAGTGGGGAAGCACTCTCAGCACTACTCTCCTCCAGTTCCAATCAATTTTCTCCTTGGTTCTTCAGCACAAAAGTATGTGTATGATGTAGGATGAACAAAAGAGAACTGTCAAAGTGGTTAGCACAGGTCTGGGATAATGGGATAATGTTACAGAATTAGTTAATCATATCTAATGTCTTGAAATTATACATGCATCTGTGCTGAAAAAAAAAATAGATCCAGAAAATACATTTTAATGCATGTTGTTTCAAAATCTGTCCCCAAGTTAAAATACAGCATCACTTCTAGCTTCTCACAGTAACATTGGATCAGTTGGTCAAAATAGTTTCTGTGATCTCAAACCAAGGATGGTGCCACCAGCTCTACCCTAAATTTCTTACATGGTTACTGAGTACATTTGCATAGTAATTGCATTTACAGTACAGTATGCAAGCCCACATAAAGTGCCCCAAATAAAATTAATTCCTAAGACTTTTATATCCTTCAAATAAATGCATATTAACCACAAAGGTTTTATCTTTCCCATACTGACTCATTTCTTACTTCAGTAAATGATCACTGTGTAACCTATAGACTTTCTCCATGATTATTGGCAGCTATAAGAAAGATTTCTTGCACTAACAATAAGACAGGTGCTATGTAAATTGGGATACACTCATGCTGCTTTATACATTTGTAGAGAATTTAATCTGTAATTACTGGAGATGGTGACGACAATTTTCTGTAGAGCGCAGGAAGAAGTGTCAGATATAAAACCTGCTCTAACATTTTGCCCTGTTGGGCTGTTACTGTCTCTCTCCTAGACTGAAAGGAAAAAAATGGGCAGTTGGTAATTTTTCAAATACACCACTTTGAGTTCATGTTAGATTCATTGCTAGCATTGCCAGCAGGGAATACTTTTCCTATGAACAAAGGACACACTTTTGGTTGTGCATGCTCTTGCTTGGCAAATAACTGATGCTGGCTGCCAAAAGTCTTATGAAAACAAAGACACATCATGGTCATTTAGGCCATAATGGCCATTCAAGCCATCCTAAAATTATCTCTGAAGGCTGGAGAAGCAGTTGCACTTCCTTCTCTATGGACCTTGCCTGTGAAATTACACATGCAGCTTCTGTGTCTTCTGTTTGACACTTGATTTTAACTTCTACCCTGCTGCTACAGCTGCAGGCTGGGTCCAAGTACCTGCAGATATAAACCAAGAGGGTTTAGTGGGCAAGCAAGGACTACAAAAGCTTTTGTCCCTCCCTGTGTCACCAGCTGGCATAGCATGTTACCCATGCCAAATGACCAGATCTGGTCATGTGGCCATGGAGGTAGACTGAATGCAAAATGTTGACTTCACTTAAAGGCTTCAGGGAGGATTTTTAGCTGTGGAATCACCATGGGCTTTTCTGGCTTTTCTATTTCTATTGGTTTTCCATTAGTCAAGACTGATGGAACAATATTTTTCATCTGGTAATGGTAGGAGACCCAGTCCATAACTGCCATATGCCGACTTGGTTCTGAACATCGTTGACTTCCAGAGTGGACAGATGTAATCCAGTCAGTTGAGAAATAACCGCAGCTCTGGAGTGGAAAATGTAAAATTCAGGCTGGATCAAGGGACATCAGCTGACCTGCATTGAGAATGAAAGTGGGCAAATAAATCATTGTGATGTCTGCAGACTCTGACCTGACCTTCATCAGTCCCAACAGACTCATTCCAGATTATTTGCAAGACGACTTATTTCTAAAAAGCCATATGGTCACATTTGCACAGTAGAAATTCACATCAGCACAACGCATTATGCAAACTCAGATACAAACCCTGCGCACAGATGCAGGGCAGGTCTTCAATTGGATGAGCTTCATTTTGGGTATGAAACCATATATGCTGCAGCAGTGCAAATGTTAATATGCACCTCTGCTATGTATCTGCTGCTGAAACACTATTTGAACAGATCTGGATATGCTAGTGCAGTGTTCTCCATGTTGTTCAACATCATGAGAGGAGGTTTTCCCAGTGTTCTCTGGGATTCACTCCTGAGAGAGACTGGAAGCCTCACAGTTATCAATGCTCTTTGGCTAAAATGCAGGAGTCCTTTCTGTCTTTGCTTTCCCACTGTAATAACTTTAATAATAGTAATAAAGCTAGATGAATTGTGCACCTTTTCCTCCTTCCCATGTTGAGTGGAAGAGAACCAAAAAATCTATATTAATTAGGTTATATGGTAGGCTCATTTAATTCTCTAGAATGCTCAGGGTACTACAGAGAGGAGCACAATGGAAATGCCTTGGAAGATGAGATAAGATGGGTGTGATACCTGCATGTCACCGGAATTAATAGAGTTTTTTTTAATTGGGGTGGTTAAAGGAATCTGAAATGAGACCATGATGTGCATTTTTTCTGAGCAATTATCAAAACTGCAGTTGAGCTCTGCCAAAGTTTTTGATCTGTGATTCCTACATCCTGACTTCCACTGCTCATCCTTTTACAATTACACAAACAAAAGCTTCTGGAGACCTCATAACTGGGGAAGCACCATGATTACCATCAGACTGTCTGGGTAGGAGGACAGACAACTTTCTGTTGGGACTTTGATGCTCTGTAGGTAGAGGGAGCTATGACATGAGAGTAAATGGTTTCATTTGCAGCTTGCTATTGACTATTTATCCTCATCCTACTCTTTTTCAAGCACAGGTATGGAGGGGCTGGCTGTGGGAAAGGAAGCTGTTGTGATACTTTCAGTTGATTCTAAACTCTTTTGACACAAGAGTTTAGATTACCTTCCCAGGTCATCTCCAGAGCATCCCAAAGTTCTCTTTTGGGATTTATGACACCTCCAGGACATCCTTGACCTTTGGTTGCCAAAGTACAGGGATTGGGAGACCTGACGGAGACTGTCCAGCCTTCTACTGGATGCTGCTTTCAAGAGTAGAGCAGAGCATGAACCTAGACATGGAAAGGGAAAGCAATGACACAGCCTGTGGTGTGAATGCAGGTTCCATCCGTAATTCCCTAGGAAAAAAATCTATCTAGAGCCTGGAATATTTCCAGGCATAAGAATGCTCAAATGTTGCCCAGCACAGCTAACACCTCCCAGACAAGTCCCAAGCTCTGTTAGTGTTAATGGCCAGGAACCATTCAAAATATGCTGGCTACATGCAGCCACTTGGTTTTGCAAGTAAAGGCTATTTAATGCTATGGACATAAGCCACTCTGTGGTAGCTGAGACCAGTGCTTGAGAATGACTCAGGCACTATTAATCCAGCAGAGCTCAATTCATTAGCTCTAGTAAAACAAGGAACAAGAAAAATAACAACAAAAAGCCTTTGTTGAGCAGTTGGGCATGTTTTGGGAGGAGCTTGCTTTCTTCTCTGATTAATTAGTTTCTACTACTTATCCTTGGCTGAATTCCTACTGAGTCACTTTGGATATTTGAAATATACCCTGTCCAATCTACCTGCCTTTTAAAAAGAGTTTTTTTTCTAGAATCTGTCCATGTTTTTGACTTCTTAGCATTTATGATATTCACTTTCTCATTTATTTCCTCCCAGCTTTAATACTCTGCCATATCTTCTCACTTCACTCTTTCTAATCCTCCCCACTTTTAATTCTACCTGTACCTACAGATTGATCCATACTTATATATACTTTCATTTCCTCTTATGCTTCTTGGTTTTCCCAGTTTCTTGTAATATTTTCTTCTGATTATTGTATTTCTTCCTGTAGTGTATCACTTCCTGTGTATCATAAGGCCAAACCATATGATGAGATATACGAATGCTGTGTGGTATTTAAGTCTTACATGCACTCTGGTGAAAATCCATCTGCAGGCATTTTTTTTATTTGGCCATTCGACTCCTAAAATTCCCTTTGATTTCAATGTGACATCATATGGATAAACCTTTAGGTCTATGTGCAGTCCAAACACAACTCCAGGAAGAATTTGGAGTCCAAGCTCATAGTAGAGCTCAGGTCATAAACTTCTCTATCTATAAACACGAAGCTGGATGCATTAAATCTCAAAGAACTTCTAATCACAGCCTTATCAGAGCACAGTCAAGGCACATTTAATTGTAACATCAATAGGCTGCTGCACACCAGGAATATTTGAAAATATGTGGTTATTTTCCTTTTCCTGTAAAATGTGTTTAAAAGCAACAAATGATTCTTGAAATTCAGGACTATTTCCATAGAAATAGTTTTTAGAGAAAGTTGTTAAGTATGAGAAATAAAGCAGACCTGTCAAGTTTCCCTTGTCAGTAGGAGCCAAATTATTGTTGTCCAGTTCATCCACAAAAGCGGGCTGATATGAAGTCTTCTGGCACTGGAAAATTTATATTCTCTTCATTTTTTTCAGAATAAATACTCACCAAGCAGGATGAAGCCCGCACAGCATGAACAAAGAACATGCTATATTTAAGAGGTCATGTCTGACTTTGAACATATGGTAACGATTCTTGAAGTCAGAAATAAAATGTAATACTTGTAATATGGCATGTAATACTTTCTGTACTCCACCAAATTACCAGGGAGACAGATTGTGCTTTTCTGAGTATACTGACAAATGTCCCTCCTCATTATGATTTTGCCCTTTTTGTATTACCATATCATTATTCTTTTTCTTCTGTACTCCAGAGTGCAGTTTAGATGACTGCATTCTTTGGCAACATTAAATATTTTCAGAATTGCTTAGAAAATTATCAGATATTTATTATTCTTCAGACAATATGAATTCATCAGTAGAAATATATACCTCAAGGGGAGCCACCCATTGCATTTAGCCAAACCAGCCAACCGTTCCAAAGGCAATAAAATAGCATTTAGCACCAGGAATAAACTGTGACATTCCCTTCTAATGAGGTTTCCAAGCTGAATCTTGTTGGCAGCCATTTTACATTTGTGATGCTAATAATGTGGGGACCTGAGTAGGAACCTGATGTTAATAATTAGTTGCTGTTTTCTTTTATAATCTTTTTCTATATGATTTCAGCACAGAAGCACACTTCCCTTGGTTTCTCATTGTTGGGGGCAGGGCATTTGTGTGGAAGTAGTAGAGGTGGAGCCTTAGCAGAGCTGATGAACAAACAGGATCCATGAGCTCGTGCCTGAAAAACAGAAAATGAGAAGGCCCGTGTAGCACAACCTATGTGTACTTATTTTCACAAAGGAACAGAAAACTGTTCTTTTGAGATGGCAGCTTCCCACCCAGCTCCAATTCAGAGGCCAATGCTCCTGCAAAACCCTCTGCATCTGCAGGGACGTATCTCTTGCTCCTCTGCCACTGGCTTGCACCTTCCTCATGGCAGCATGGCTCTTTCCCATCTTTGTTGTGAAGCAGCACCAGCTGGGAGAAACCATGAGTTGCAGAAAGACAAGAGCCTTCCACATTTCCAGGGATTCCTGTTCTTTTCAGTGACAAAAGGAGCCAGTGACTTGACTCCATTTGGAAGGAACTGAGAAATTGATACAGTTTGGGCCAGAGAAAACATGATCAAATGAAAGATAATTCCCACCACCACAGGAAAGGCTGGAAGAATTTCTTTGTCAGGCATCAATACAAGTGAACACGTCAGATGGTTGGGGTGGTCCCTCCTGGTATAAAACCTATTAAACATTTGCATGTTCCCCCCAAACCTGGGAAAGGAGGAGGTCTCAGCAGGCAATTAATTGAGTCCACTGCTTGAGAGAGGAAGTGGGACTCAGATTGTGTGGTTTCTTTTTTTATTTTAAATTAAGAAACCTAATTAAAATTATAAGAATTTCCTGGGGAAATTCTCAGCCTTTTCATTTTTTAAGAGCCTTTGTATTACAAAAGGTGTTTGAAGTCCTTGAATTTTTACCCTTTAGCCACCTTTAATCTAATTTCTAATCTCTTAATAGCCTTAATTGAGTTCTGAATACTTTAAATTATTAAACATCTTTGGGGGATTATGATTTCTATTTCTGATTATACAAAATAGTATCAATTGCCCAACAACATCCCCTCTATTTATGTCAAATTAAACTACCAGGGACATATGGCATATGCTTCAAGGCCAGGATATTTGCATTGGAAACACTTTAAAAGACTCTTGCTTTCAAGCAGGTTGAAGAAGATGAGTGATAAGAAATGAGGGAACAGCAAGATCCCAATGTAGGCCCTAAGTCATTGGAGGCTCATTGTCTTTTTGTCACCTTTGCTGTACAGGTAGAGCCTGCCCATGGCCATGGAGCAAGCAGTGGCCAGCTGCCAGGGGCCATGCAGACACCCAAGGCACAGGCAAGAGAGCCACCTGCTTTTCTCAGCTGGGATGGATTCCTTCCCAGCCCCATGCCTTGCCACATCCCTCCCCATTGCTCCACTCCCAGGGACAATTGCCCAGATTTAGATCCCAGTCTAATTCGGCTTGGGTCTTCAACTGCCCCTTTGTTCTTCTAAATGTTCTTATCTGCCCCATGTCTATCCTTCTCAGAGGCTTACTACCTTACTATGCCTCTGATCATGAACCTTCCTCTTCCTTTGCTTGCCCATGGCTCCTGGAACCAAGGCTATTTGTTATTTCCCCCCCGCCTAAATATCTTCCCCACTTCCCTGTAGAAGATGCCAGCCCTGGCAGGGGCAGCAAGCCTCACCCTGCTGAGGCACCAGTTCAGGCACCACTCCAAAGGCAAAAAGGCTCTGGGGAACACAGGACAGACAGCAGCCCTCCCCTTAAGGAGAAGAGCACCTTGCTTTACACCTTGCTGCAAGCTGTGGAATAAAATACTCTCTAGAATGCAGATATGACATTCAAAACACATATTTGCAGCATGAGCTAGCACCCATGGAAAAGCTCATTCCTTATCAAATAAAGCCGCATTTGTAAAAATCAGGAATTTATTTGCTTGAAAAAAACAAACAAACTTTATAAATGTGGAGAAAGTATTAGTTTTTCCACTTTTCTTGCTTTTGCTTTTTTAAATTTTACTCCAACTGTTTTTATTAGACCTCAGCTTTAGTTACTGTTAATTTGCCTCCACTTGTTTTCATCTCTCACCTAAGAAACAGCTTTAATATCCAGCACCAGAAACGTCTTTTGAGAGCAATATTTGTTTCCCTAACTTCAGGGCAAGATTTCAAATTGTCATTTCTGAGTATCTTGAATGCTTTCTAGACACTCTAGCAAAAAGTCCATGAAGTTTCTGAGGAACCCACAATTGCATTTGTAACTCATCACTTATACGCACTGTAGAGTCTGGCTTTATATGCACAAAACAAATGACTATTCAGTGTACTATTGTTAAAACCTGGATCTAGCTGCCACCATTATTCAGGATGAGCAATGCTCTACTTCAGTTGTCCTATTGATTAAATATGCACAAAATGTACATTATAAGACAGACTTGAACTATTTATTAGTATTATTTTCAAATCTGTATTGCTGTAGCAGCTATGATTGCTAGCTGAGCTCTAGGGAGGTTGTTTTTTGGATAATATACCATGACAGAAAAGCAGTATCTTCTGTGAGCATGCAGTCTGAGGTGCTGATCCATGAGGTATGTGTACTCAAACTTAGCTGCTGAAGCTGTCCATCAGTATCCTTGGCTGCTCAGAGAATAGATATCTAAGCATATATGTAGTTTTATACTTCTGAGTTCAGTTTTACAGTACAATTTTAAACTTATTCCTGTTATTTTTATTTTTTTTGCAATATTGAGTTTTATTGTACCTGCTTTTACATTTACTACCTAATAAATGCCTTCCTAACAGGAACACGTATATTTAGATATATTTTTAAACATATTAATTTTTATGCACTTTATGGATCAGAGTAATTCTCAAATATGAGTTAGGACATAATTCTGTAGTTCAGTGTCTCTGCAGGAGACTGTCCCATGCGCTTTATGTAAAAGGCCTGACTCATATAAGTTCGATAACAAGACGAAGGCCACTAAACTGAAAGATGAAAATAGCCAAAAGATGTTGGTTAAGGCATTTTGGCTGAAACACTTCAGTTTTAGGTCAGCATAAAAAGTCATTCAGCTCTCCTTCTTACCCTAGAAAGAGAGAACAATAAGAAAATCAGGCAGCAATAAATTTAGAGCAAATTAAAAAATACTTTTATGTAGCACATGTCCTGACTATAGAATTCATTGCTGTAATAGGTCACCAAGTTAAATACCATGGATGGATAATTTTATCACTATTCCTGAGCCAAGTCCTCCCTACCATAGCCAAGCCAACAATCTTCAGTGAAACTGAAACAAGATCTAAGTAAAACAGTGGTATTTACCCCAGTCTTTATGACATGGTTATATTCTGTGAGAAGAACAATCAAGGTAATTAGATTCCATGCTCAGTACTTCATCTGTTTACTGAAGTGGAAGAGTGAACTCCCTTTTACCACCCCATAATTTGATAAAACCTCCATAAAAGGGGTTTTAAAAGTAATAGACACTGACCATGGGGACAGTCCTGGGTCACAGATGCTCTACTGAAAAACTTGCCGTAGCTACAAATTAAGCTGACAAGCTATAGGAAAGCCAGGGCATGCATAATTATGTACTGTAGGACTACAAACATAGATATGTACTGAGACCTACTTCCCCTGTCCTCACCTACAAAGAACATTTCAGCCCAGTGAGAATTACATGATGACACTATAAATTACATGCCAGGCTTCAGTCTGATCTTGCATATTTATACTTTTAAACCTTTCAAACTACTGGTTACTAATTAAAATTATAACATGCTCTTTCAACAACAATAACTCAGTATATAAAGATCCTACATACCTTTCAAACCTTTCACAAGGAAAAAATGTCAGCCTTAGTTTGCAAGTGAGTTTATTGTTTCTGTGGCTTTAAGTAACACAACCTCTTTAGAAGCAGACGGCTCGTCAGTGTGCTGGCAGGAATGTGACACAGGAGAAATGAGTCTAGAGCTAAATTCGAGGAAAATTACTGTGTGCAAGCCCCAGTTTTCAGTAAAAAGAAGATTCTTCTCAAAGATAAATAAGTACAACCTTTAAAGTGAGAGCCAAGTCTACCTAACACTGGCGGGGAAACTCTTCCTGTGTCTCCAGGGAGAGGCATTACCAACCCTATGGCTGCTTTACTGCCCCTCATCACTGCTACTTCAGCCTCACCTAACGAAGTGGGAAAGATTCTGGCACTGCCTATACAGCACAAAGGAATTGATTCCTTTGCTATTACCACTTCAGGGCTCGGGGAATCCTCTTTTTTTCCTCACATACAGGTATTAAATGTCAGTATCGGCAATTGGCATTCAGTGGCCAACGCTGTCAGAGGGAACATCTCGGTGGTCATTGCCTCAGTCTTGGCAGGAGAAGCAGGGTGAATGCAAACGCAGGCAAAGCCGCACGTTGGCCAACTTACCAGCAGGAAAATAAGCTTTAGTACTATCCTCTGCCTGGAGCTCCAGAGGGAGATGCCATCTACTCAGAGCAGGGGCTCCTAGGAAGGGTGCTGGAAAAGGGTGCCACGGCCATCCTAGGAGGAATCGTTGTGCACTTAGGAGGGGTTCCTACCAAGAGACTGGGCACAGGCCCCATAGGAATTGCCTTTTTGGGGTGACTTCCAGGATGATGCAGCCTGGGGAGACAGAATGAGGAGAAAACGAACAGCTCCAGCAATGACGACCCGCTGCAGGGATGGTGGATTTTCACACCTGCAGCCTCCATACGTTCCTGGTGCAACCGCAGGACAGGGAGGACAGAGAGCACCTGCGGTGCTCTTCTCTCCATGCTGTGGTCGCCAGGGTCCGCCCCCCGTTCTGCTAACTGACTTCGCTCCAGCTTGCCCCATTGCCG